GCCACTCTGTTTCCATTGGCTCTCCTATCTTCCTGCCAACTCGCTTCCTGCTTCCCTACCATTCCTGGGGGGTCTCTATGGTTTGAACTCTGACAGGCAAGACAATTAGGACTCAGTCTCTAGAGTTAACCACTGTGAAAAGACTGTAGGTAACTGAATGGGTGGAATATGCACCAAAGGATATTACCCCTCCCATTCATCACAACCCCATTCCAGTTCAAATGTGGCAGGATGTTATTGTGGCCCCAAGGTGGTGGGAATCTTTTGATCTTGCCAGATTTCTCCCATTTTGGTGTCATGGAATTTGAACCTAGTGCTGACAATGCTCTCTGATCTGCATCCAATCTACACCGTTCCCAGGTCGGGGGCCCCTCCTTTCGCACCTACGTACCCCTAATTCACAGGGCTAGTCTCCAGCGCATCTTAATGTTTCAAAACACAGTTTTGGCAACATTCAAGCAGTACGAGGCCTTGTGCTGGGGGAGCAGTATTCTGCCATCAAGGTATTGTTGGCCAGCTCGTGTTTCATAGAACACTAAACTGGAAGGGACCTCGAGAGGTTATCCCGTCCAGTCCCCTGCCCTCACGGCAGGACTAAGCACCGCAAATAGAATTATATGATAACTGTTCTGGCGCTAATACTAAGCAAGCAGTATATGCCTTCTGCATTATGGGCTGTCTTCTAAACCCAATGCCACATCCTCCACTTCCTGTGGCTAAAGCTGGCCTATCACCAGTTGTCAGTAGCTGAATTTGGTGACTGTCACATCATTGTGGTTCCCTGTGCCACTGTTGGTCCATAGTTTCTTGTTGGAGAAGTTATTCTTGTCTGCTTACCAATGGCAGTTGGTGGAAGAAGATGGGGATTCAAAAGCATCCTCCTCCTCCTGAGAGCTTTTCAGTGGCCTACATGAACTGATTTGGTGAGTCTTGGGCCATGCAATAAATCACCCACCGCAATGAGTACTAACTAGCCCCTTTTGCTGGCCATTTCAACAGAAAACAAGGATGAAAAGGGCCATGAAAATGGAGCTTCCCTCTTGCCCTTTGGTGGGTATCTTCCCTGGGTCAGGGCTGAACCCCAATGATATGGGGTGGTGTAATGGAAACTTGCCCTTCCAGGCCCAATGGTATCTGTCCGGGTGATGCTTAAAGCAAGTCAGACTCTAGAGCTCGTGCTAAAAATTCTTACTGGGGGAGTTCTACTGGTTTATAATGGTTACACTGGTGATCCATACATGATCCATACGTGAGCTGTGCTGGTGGCACTGGCTATTATCCACGATGGGCAGGGATGTTATTTTTGTGCTTTGTGCTAGTTGCTCTTCACATTCTTGTTTGGGCTCGCTGATTATGTTTTTACACTTGGCCAGAAGTTAGAGTCTTTTCTATTTTCTTTGGTAGGCTTTGACTTCCAATTTTTAAAGGATGCCTTCTTATCTATAACTGCTTCTTTTACTCTGTTGTTTAGCCAGGGGTGGCATTTTCATCCTCTTACTTTTTTAATGAAAATGATTGTTTAGCCCTGTATAGTTTGAGCCTGTATTATGGTGTTTTTAAAAAGTTTCCATGCAGTTTGCAGGCATTTCATTCTTGTGACTGTTCCTTTTAATGTCCATGTTTCTAGCCTCCTCATTTTTGTGTAGCTCCCTTTTTAAAAAATTCAAGACTGCTGTGGTGGATTTCTTTGGTATCTTCACGTCCCCCACCCCAGGCACATTACATTTATACATCATGGTCAATATTACCGAGTCGTTCAGTTATATTCACCTGTGGGCCACTTGGGACTAAATCAAGAATTCTCTCTCTCCTTGTGGGTCCAAGAAGGAGCCATTACTGATGTCTAGAAATGTTATCTCTGTAGCACATCCCGCAGTGGCATGCTCAGTCGTAGAAATATGGGGGTGGTTGAAATCCCCCATATTGACTCCTTTACTGTAGGCGCATCATGTTCCGAAGCGATGACAATCGTGCAAGCCTGTGTAGACAGGGTTTTCTGTCTTTGTGACCTCTCTCGTCTCTCTAAGCATTTCACAATCACAGTCACAATCTTGGTCAGCGACGAGGAGTCCTGTGACCCCTTATAGACTAACGGATTTATTGGAGCATAAGCTTTCGTGGGCAAAGACCCACTTTGTCAGGTGCATGGGTCTTTGCCCACAAAAGCTTATGCTCCAATAAATCTGTTAGTCTATAAGGTGCCACTGGATTCTTCGTCGCTTTTGCTGATTCAGACTAACACGGCCACCCCTCTAATCTTGGTCAGATGGTCGGTTCCTGCTGCGACATTCTTATTACTCAGACATGGAATTTCTATCCCTAGAGATTCTATGGTACAGGCTGATCCCTTTAAGACCCTATTCGACTTCCTTCTGCAGTACCACTCCCTATCCTCCCAGCATGATCTGTTCGGTCATTCCTACTCTGCTTATTTTTGCATGGGTTGTGACGGTGACAGAGGGTACCTGCATGGGGGCTGCACTGGTGGGGAAGGTGACGCCAGGGACCTGAACGGGGCTGCTCTGCTTGTGAGCTGACCATGTGTGTTGGCCTTTTCGGGGGTAAACCAAACACTCCAGGCAAAAAATCCGGCCGGAATCCTGCTGCTGCTCTCCCATCCCATCCCTAGAGAAACCGCCCCAGGCTAACTCGCATCAGAGCTGGTGCCAGCTCTATGCAAAGCAGCCGCAAACTTGCTGGTTGCCAGATGAACCAGGGGGAGGGGTTGGAGCGCCGCCTGATGTGTTATTAGTAGCTCACCATGCTTATTCCTTCCACCCGAGCACACCTCAAAGAGGGAACTGGGGGGAGCAGGCTTAGGGTGGGAGAAGACCATCTCAAAGCATGACGTTCCCTCGTTTCAGTACCGGCGCTTTCCCTGAGTGCCCCACACCTCCATGATTAAAGTGGAGTGGACTCCCTCTGGCAGGTTTAGACTGTGTCTAGGAATGATGGGTTCCAGCACTGGAGCAGAGTTTCAGGCTCGGGAGGGTTAGGTTCCTTCTGAATCTGGCAGAACACCAAGAGCTGAGCTGAGAGAAACCAGGGGAGCTCCTCGGAAGGTCCCGGAGTAGCCATGCTTTGCAGCCGTAGGGAATCTGACTCCGCAAGCTTTCTTTCCAGTTGGCTGGTGCTGGGCAAACCTAGATTTCAAACAAGACTCCTTTACTGTAGGCGCATCATGTTCCGAAGCGATGACAATCGTGCAAGCCTGTGTAGACAGGAACCAGACAGACACGTGGGTTTTTAGTATTAGACCTTGGGAAATCATTTTGGCCTTGGAAAGGGTTCAGAAAAGGGCAACTAAAATGATTAGGGGTTTGGAACGGGTCCCATATGAGGAGAGGTTAAAGAGACTGGGACTTTTCAGTTTAGAAAAGAGGAGACTGAGGGGGGATATGATAGAGGTCTATAAAATCATGAGTGGTGTGGAGAGGGCAGATAAAGACAAGTTATTTAATAGTACCCTAAATAGAAGAACTAGAGGACACCAAATGAAATTAATGGGTAGCAGGTTTAAAACTAATAAAAGAAAGTTCTTCTTCACACAGCGTGTAGTCAACCTGTGGAACTCCTTGCCAGAGGAGGCTGTGAAGGCTAGGACTATAATAGAGTTTAAAGAGCAGCTAGATAATTTCATGGAGGTTAGGTCCATAAAAGGCTAGTAGCCAGGGGATAAAATGGTGTCCTTGGCCTCTGTTTGTCAGAGGTTGGAGAGGGATGGCACGAGACAAATCGCTTGATCATTGTCTTTGGTCCACCCTCTCTGAGACACCTGGTGCTGGCCACTGTCGGCAGACAGGCTACTGGGCTAGATGGACCTTTGGTCTGACCCAGTACGGCCTTATGTTCTTATGTTATTGGCTCAAATCAATAGAAGGAAAGTTTCTTTGCCTAACCTCAAACTTTTCTTCAAAGGAGCCACAAGGCATTAGACACCCAATGCCTCTGACTTTTCAGTGGGTGCCGAATCCCCCTAGTCTCCTTTTGAAAATCCCAGCCCAGATGTTTTGGAAAACCTAAGCACTTCCCAGCTAGTGTCTGTTACAGTAAAATAACTGAGTCCGAGAGCTTGTAAAGTCCTTGAGGGAGCACAACAGAAAGGGGAGGGCCATGATGCAGCTGTCTGCGTTTGCGGGGAGATGAGCAGGAGAAGGTGTGAATCTGAGAAGGGCAGCAGCTATGGCTTAGAAAGGAGCCTTTACTGGAAAATTAGGATCCAAGCACTGAACCCTCTAAAGTTTGGGGTCCTGATCTGGGAAGTTTGGCTCAAGCCGTTGCAGAGGGTGGCTGAAAATTCAGGTCCAGGTTTGGATTCCAACTTCCAGTGAACTCGGGAATTCAGGGTTGAGGAGATGATGTGGGTTCCGGCATCCAAGGGAAACGCTTGAGGGTTTATGCTGTGTCTTCGGATTGGATCTTGTCTGATTCCCCTTGCATTTGCCTAGTGGCCTTTGAATCAGTCGCCTTTTTAATACAACCCCCTTCCAGTCCCTCAGATTTCCCATAATTATTCAGCACCACAAATCTTCCCAAGAATCACAGGTGAGTGGTCTCATCACCCTCATCACCTGTGTGCCTGCTTCTCCCACAGCTTCTCTGCCCTTGCTTCTAGCTGTCTGATAGCTAGAGGAACACCTTCCCTCGGTAACCTTTAAGGGTGCTGCCTTCTCCAGGCCCACCTCTGTGGGGCTCCCCTTGAGAGCTAGTTCTATTTATTCCAGTAAAGATTTAAGTACCTTCGGGAGCCATCGAGTTGTGCAATCTCCCCCTTGGTAACCACACGATAGTCACCTTGCCTCCGTCCTGCCATCCTGTCCCCTTGCCTTTGTTGCTCACACTTACTGTAACTTGTCCTGCATTAAATTGTATGTGTGGGGAAAAAGCAGGTCTTCGTGTATGTTTGGACCGGTCTGGGCGCAGCAAGGCCTGATGGGGAGGGCGGGGGAGTTTCCACCTTATCGCCTCCCCAAGATTCATTCTTATTCTTCTCGTTGTAGGAAATGAACGAAATGGGCTGGACTTTAACAGACAGGTAAGAGCTACCAAACATTCCTCTCCTTTGGCAAGGCAGGTCACTGCATCGGCTGATCTCCTTGGCTTCCCAGGAGCTGTCCCTCATGGCTCAGGATGCCTGATGCTATGTCTCTCCGTTGGCCTTTCTAGCCCATAGACACTTTGTTGATTTAAGGTTTGATTTAAATCCACATGCTCTTTGTTTTAACCACACGAAAGGGATTTTTGTTCCGCTGGGGAGAAGGCAGCCTCAGTTCCAGGGTGCTATTGATGTTCTATTGTGTGTGATATAGCTGCCATTCACCCAGGGCGTACGTGTCTAGGGCACAGGGCCGATGCACCTGAGTTTAAGGAACAGGCCTGGAGAGAGTGGTTTGGGTTCTGGCAGTACCTTGGTC